GAGGTGAGTCTCCTCACTGTATCCCTGGGTCGAAGGCATCAATGCTGACCCATTATTTTGTTAGGTAGAATGCTAGTTGTCATGTGACTTTTATATAGGTTTGTGTGATCGGGTTGAAATAAACCCCAGGACGGGGCCCATTATTGTATGATCGGGTTGAAATAAACCCCAGGGTGGGGCCCATTATTGTATGATCAGGTTGAAATAAACCCCAAGGCGGGGCCCACTATTATATGATTGGGTTGAGATAAACTCCAGGGCGAGGTCCATTATGGTATGATCAGGTTGAAATAAACCTCAAGGCGGGGCGCATTATTATACGATCGGGTTGAAATAAACCCCAGGGTTGGGCGCATATATGTTTATTAAATTGGAATATACCCCAAGGTTAGGCCTAGTTGTATGTTTGGTATGTGGTACTTTGGGGAAACTCAGTAAGCTTTTTGCTTACAATTTATGTTTATGGATTCAACTATCTCTGTTTTCAAAAGGAATGGCCTGACTTGATCGCACTGCATCCCCTGGAGTTTTATTCCACACTAAATGTTTATAAATTACTCTGATGTTTTGAAATTACTATGACTCTGATCACCTTTTGGAACAATTAATGAATGGTTTTAACTTATTTAAAAATGAAATTTTTACTCGGTATTTTTGGGACGCTACATCAATTATATTTAATGTAAATTGAGGTTTCAAATACATATAGCGATATGAAAGATGCTTCCTAATATACTATTGTAACGCCCTGTTCTAAATCGTTTCATAATTCGGGGCCGTGAACCGAGGATCGGTTATCATAAGGCTTAGGGCCTTTGGGAAAGAGACCTATACCCCCTTTGAGTGTGGGCAATGTAGTTTAGATGATATGGGAGTTCGATTTGTGTTTTGGATCCCAGGGGTATATCGATAAAGTGGAAGTTCGGGCCTTTTATGAATTTTAGATTTTAGTTCGAAAGTTTTATGGCAAGGGGAGTTGATAGAAGTGTATAGCTTCTCATTACCTTTCCGTGGATATATAATCAGATTTGAAACGAAGAAGTTATGACTGTTCAAAGTTGGGAAGGATTTGGGGGAAAAACTGAGCTCACGACATGAGCAGTTGGAGCTCACGACATAAGAAGCGATTAAATGGAAATGCTTATATAAACTGTGCTCACGAGGTGAGAATTAAGGGCTCACGACATGAGAACTGTGTAGCCCAAGCCCATGATTTTTTTAAGGTTTTCATCATATATAAGGGTTGGTTCCGTGTTTTTATGGCATTTTATGAGCCTCAATCATATCTAGATCATCTTGAGAGAAACCCTAACCTCCCTTTCACCATTTTGAACCTACCCTCTCTTCTTCCATCCATTTATGGAGATTTTGGTGCTTTGAAGAAGAAGATGTTCTTGGTTCTTAGATCTAGCAAGCAAGTTCCCTCACCACCTTAAAGATCATACCTTGGACCATGGTAAGTCCTCAAGTTCCAACCTTTATGTATTATTCTTCTAAGATCTATACTTTTATGCCTTTTTCTTCATGTTGAAGGTGGTTTGATTGGTTGGATTCCATAAAGTTGGCAACTTTATGGATCCATGAGGTCCCTTTGAGGTTTGCTGTGCTAGATCTATTTTTTGGTTGAGTTTTGGTCCCATGAATGAGATTTAGATCTCATTTTCACCATTTTGATCTAATCAAGTTCAAGACATGCATTGGACATGCATGTCCATAAAGCAAAGATTTTTATGTTGCTTTTGATGTATGAAAGCCCTCTGGAAAGTTAGAATGGATGACTTAATGGATTAAGGACTTAAGAGATTAGGATTTAGCATCAAACGTGGTTCACGACGTAACATAGGGAGTGTCACGATGTGAGAGTGGTTTTTACGAGATTGTTTCGACTGACTGAGCTCACGACGTGACCCAGGAAGGTTCACGTCGTGAGGTCTACTGAGTGGGTCATCTGGGACCAAGTTGACTGAGTTGAAGCGAGTTGAGATGGAATCTGGCCGAGTGCGTTCTCACGACGTGACCAAGGACTGGTTACGACGTGAGTGTCAACCGATGGAAATGTTGACTGTTGAATTTGATTTTGACCCTTGACTGTTGAATTTGAGTGTTGACTTTTAGTGGAGTTGACTTTTGGTCAAATTGCTAGTTTTAAAAGGTGGACTAAGAGTTTACCTTGTATGGTTTCTTAGGAGGTGTATGACACCCGTTCGTTGGTTGTATGAGCTGTTAGCTGTGGATTTTGTTGGCGAGGTGAGTTTCCTCACTATGTTTAGCAGGTCGAAGGCACCAATGTTGGCCCATGGTTTGTTATGTTTAGATGCTAGATGTCTGCGTGACTCTTGCATATGTTACGCGTCGATATGTTTACCGAGCGTTGCCCGCTGACCATTCTGTATGCTATTTATCTTTGTGATTATTGCATGTGTTATGTGTTTATATGTTTATATGTATACCGGGCAGGGCGCGATGACTGACAGATCTCTATATCGAGTGGGGCTCGATGCCAGGCGGGGCCCGATGCCGGACGGGGCCGATGACGGACAGGGACCATTATATGTTTGATATGTATGGTATGTGGTATGTTGGGGAACTCACTAAGCTTTGCGCTTACGGTATTCAGTTTATGTTTTCAGGTACTTCTATTTCGAAAGGGAAGAGCTCGGGATGACTGCATTGCACACACCATATTATTCTGCATATTACATGACTCTGATGTACTTGGATGTTTATTGATACACTCTGATTAGCTATGGTTTTCATGATATTGTTTTGGATAATGGTTTTATTGATATAAAAATCGAAATTTTTAGTCTTAATTTTTGGAACATTACAACTATGATATGATGATATGATATTATTTTTTTTTTCAAATTTTGTTATATAATAGCTATATAAACATCAATAAATTGGTAATATGAAAAATAGCTTCTATATAAATTTATAATTTTTATTATGTATAATATAAATAAATTTACGATACAACAAAAACAATATATGAAGTATTTATTGTTAAAAATAAAGGACGATTTGGGTTTTAATATCCTGATGAAACAAACCATTGATCAGCGTCCTAAACAATGAAAAACATTGTTTATAGTTTTTGTTTTTATTAATTGCAAACGAGTTCTTCGCCATAATATGCATGGTGACTTAAGTGCGAGCTTATATTAGGGATGAGTAGTTAGTATCAAATCCTGATTTTGTACTAGAGTCGTACCGGTACCGACACCGAATCTAACTAAATTTAAACATATGTGATGATACTCGGTACTCTAAAATCACTAAGTAGTTTGTATCGGTACTAGTACCGAAAACTGGTAACATTCCCGATATCGGTACCGATAATATTAATTCAGTTGAGTACTTGGGATTGACTTTAAATCACATTCGGTTTTCGTAAAAACAGAAACATTACCGGTTTTTGTCCCAAACTCATTGGTTGTTTATATACATTTGGGTAAAGTTGTAAAAAGCAAAAACTATAAATTTAAATATAAAGAGCAAATTACTAAAACCGTCCATGTGGTTTGGTGAAATTGTAAGTTTGGTCCCTAACCTTTTTTTTTTCACCTGGACAATCCTTATTGTTTAAATTTGTTACGTTTTTGTCCCTCAAAAACATAAAAAGACTTAATTGTCCTTTATTATTATTATTATTATTATTGTTATTATTATTATTCCTTAGTTATAGAAAAAAAATTAAATGATTTATAAACACTTGGGACCCACTCCTAATCCCACTACCACAAGCATTCACCAACAACCATTAGTCATCGACAACAAAATGAAATTCAAAAGGAACGCGAGTTTTTGGTGCGATTGCCCTTGAATTGAGACGGTTCAACTTTATTAAAATAGTTTCATTAGCTCCAGAGGTATTATAAAATCAGAGCATCGATATGGTTATAGTAGGGTATTTAAAAGAAATATATTAAGATTCATTTAATAGATTTTGTCTCATGTATATACCTTTCAAAATTAATATTCATAAACAAAAAACCACCACACCATTAGTCACCATTAGTCACCACCAAACTTTTAAAATCAACTCCAAAAAATACGAATTCCACAACCACAACCACTTAAGAAACCTAAAATACAACCCACGACCACCACATCCACATGTGGAAAATTTACCATTGACAACCACCGCCAACACCACCTCATTGATGCTAATACCGACATAAAATCCCATATCCAGAGCGAGAAGAAGGAAAAACCATAGAAGATGGTGGGAAGGTGGATATACCCAAAAGGGATGAGGAGTCGGATTGAAGATGACGCGGAAGACAACGGAGAAGGTAGCATCTCTTGCAAGGTCTCCAACAAACAGATCTAAAGATGATGAAGAAGAAGATGTGGAGAGTGAGGAAGAACAAATAAACAGAATTAACAAAAGTTTTGATTCACGCCGTCAGATGATCGTTTCCTTTAGCTTCCCCGACAGTGACCAGAGATTTTCATCGGATAAGGTAGGTGGCTTCCGGCGGTGGCTTCCGTTGGTGGTTTCCGATGGTGGTAGGTGGCTTACGACGTTGGTAGGTGGTTTTCCGACGGGGGTGGGTGGTTTTCGACGAAAGTTGGTAACATGGTGGCTAGAGTGTTTGGTTTTCCAAGATGAATGAGAAAGTGTATGTGTGCGTGTCAGAGAGAGAGAAAGAGAAGATCTTGTTTAGAAGGGGGTAACGGATGTGGACATGTGGTAGGCATATATATATATATATATATATATATATATATATATATATATATATTAAATTAAATCACAATAAACAAATAATAATAATATAAATGACAATTAAGTCTTTTTATGTCTGCAACGACCAAAAACATAACAAATTCAAACGCTAAGGGTAGGGACCAAACTCACAATTTCACCAAACCATAGGCACCATTTCACAGTAATTTGTTCAAATATAAAAGGTAACTTTGTACAGTGGAGTGAAATGGGCAACGAATTACGGTGAATATAGAAAGTTAACCGGAGGAAGATTAGGGTTACAATGTCCGATGAGCAGTACACTGCACACCTTCTATTTTCGCTCTGTAAAATGAGGAACCTCAAGAAATCCCGAGAAGGGGATGCAGATGATTCGTCTTCAATCAGTCGTTTACCAGATGAAATTATCCTCCAAATATTAAACAAACTAATCGATTTGAAAACCCTATGCTTTTGCTATCTGGTTTCCAGACGTTTCTCCTCGATTGTACTTCAAGTCGATGCCATTACCATTTCCTTCACTGCTCCTCTCGTAAATCCTCCCATTCCCGATAAGAACACAGTCGGTGATGTAGCCCCGCTTCTGCCTAAACTTTATTCGTATTACGGTGAGTCCTTTGTATCTGCCAGTAACTTTTTGAGAAAGTTTCAAGGAGTGAAGATCTTATGTATCGAACTTCCGCCTTCTCGTCGCATAGCTATTGATAATCGTTTTTTGGTCAAGTGGAAGGTTAAGTTTGGTTGCAGAGTCGAATCGTTTATATTTCTGTCTCCAAATTCAGTTTGTGACAAGGATGGATTCTATCTTTATGGAAATGGGGATGATGAAGAAGATATCGAGTTAACAATTGATTCGATTAAGCAAAGACGTCATATTTCGTTTCAGTGTCTGAGGGAGGCGAATCTGTGGCATATGATGTTGTTGGACTGCGCTAATGGTTTCCCAAAGTTGGAGGAGGTCTCTATTAGTGGTTCAGGGAGAAGAGAGAGGCTTTCTCTGAGTGGGGAAAAACTGAGTGAGGTGAAGGAATGGTTACATTCAGCTTCGAAAAGTGAGTTGGAAACTGAGTTAGCTCGTGTAGACGTTCTTGCTAGAGTGAGTGAGTGTTACATTCCCGTTTTGAAGTTGCCAGTTTCAGGGTATGTGATGAAGGGGGTATTTGTTATGGTAATGGGGATGAATAATCTCCAAGGTGGAAATGATTTTCTTATGAACAGTGAAGATGGTAGTTTTGAAGATAAAGAAGAGGCTGCATTATACACTGAAGCTGTGAAGGAGATTTTGGAGAAGCATAAGGGCATGATGCTTACCGTTGTGCATTCTGTATGAATCAGGTCCATACTCTGAACCTCATAACAAGTAAGCTCTTCTCTTTTGCAAATTGCAATTGAATATGTATAAAGTTAGAACTTGTTCTTTATGTCTAATCTATTAAACATACACAACTCAGCCACTCAGGTCATCTCTCCAAAGTCTATAAAATTTGTAAAAAGGGGAATTTGACTAGCAACCATGGGAAATAATCAAGTTAACATTATTTAAGTCATGTCATGTGTATAATCTTTATAACTCACGTTATGTTGATGTATGACATGTATTTTCAGGGTACTGATGCAAGTTCAAGTAACAACTAACAAGGGAAGGGAAAATATCAAGTAGATTGGTAGATATTATTAATTGATAGAAGATAGATGGAAATCTTTAAAACAAGTATTGAGATGGAGTTACTTTTGAAGCAGAATTATCCCTAGAAAAGTAGTAACATGTTTTGGTATGTAAGTGAAACAAATCACTACTACATAACATCTATATTTTGTAAATCTATATAGTGAAGCTTGTTCATCTGTTCTTATTTTGTGATTCTTACTATTAGTTGGTTTATAGCAGGTGGATTCCTAGCGTACAATGCATGAATAAGCTGTTGTTTGTTATTTCTTAGGCAAAATGTCTGCAGTCTGCAAACTATATCTGTAGACCTCTGCAGCAAAAGAGGTGGACCAAACGTCTGCAGTCTGAAAAAAGAAACTGTTTGTTTTTTTAACATCTGCATGCTACTAAAATAAGCTAAAATCTAAATAAACTGAATTTTTTAAACTACAAAGTGATTTTTTAATATATTTATGACTTTGTTATAAATAATTAACAAATCTAAATCAATTTTTATGTATTATTGTATAAAAAATGAAAATAAAAATGGTACAAATTAACGTATATAATTGATAAAACCAACAATTTTGGTCGCAAAGTTATGCCTAAACATTGTAATTAGGAATCAAAGAATATGATATATAAATGAATGGAAATAAACTTTGATTTTTTCAGTTAAATCAATTAAAAACGTGCTATAAATATTTTTTCTAAGAAATTAAAGATGCTTTATTAAATAATGTTTTATAAAATTTGACATAAAAAATATAAGAATATATATATATATATATATATATATATATATATATTTTCATATTTATATAAACAACTTCAATGAGCATTATTGCAATAAATTTTTATTTATAAAATTGTCAAAAATATTATGCTTGTGTCGTCAAATTTTTTTTTAAGTATTGTAACTTTTTTTTTCAAATTGTTTATCACTAATAAAGTTGAAATAAATATAATTTCAAAAAAAACTAAAAAATAAATAAAGTATATGTGTTTTTTTAGGCTAGAAGATGTCTGAAGATGTTAGAAGACTCTGGTCCACATCTGCGCCAAGAAGAAGGCGCACATACATTTTTAGGTCTGCAGTCTTCAAAAAAGCAATCAGTCTGCGAAGGCTAATGTCTGCGCGTGGTCTGCACCGCACAGACAGAAGAGGCCAGGAAGATCTGCCGACAAAAAACAAACACCAGCTAAGAAAAAGAAAATAGAAGTATTTTGTTATAATCAATTAATAATTGAAAGTACATTTACTTTCGTTCAGATAAATTATTTAAAATAAAAACATTCTCATAGAGGACACAAACATAATTCATCCATTCGTTATTTTTACTTCATTAGGTGATTGTTACGAATATAACTAATAACTCTTTAGAGTTCATTGCAATACATATCTATCATTTCTTGCATATGTTCGTCATTCCTAGCTTCTTTGACTGTTTCATACTTTTGCCACATTTCTTTGTTTCTTTTGACAGCTTTAGTCCTTAAGATATTAAATTTTTATTTTTTGTCTTTTTGCCCAAATATTTGACAGCCTTCCGTCTATTCCTAACTTTTCTCTAATTTTCATAGGTTTTTTGTCTTTATTTATTCATCACTTTTGGAACTGTTTATTCGATTAGTCGATGACCCTTGAATTTGGAGCTGCACACGTGTTGCCTCCTTCCATTTTCTACCGGCTTACATGGGTTACGTGGCGTTTCCATAAATCTTCCACCACCTCTTCCACTAATCTTCCACTTCTTGCTCTATCAAACTTGATCTTTCTATCTCTATCCTCCATTTTCATTGCATGTGGATTGATCGGCGACTCACATCGGATGCTTTCATAAACCCTTCTCTCCCTCTAATAATTATCGAAAAGGGTTTCTTTCGATTATCCATCATGGGTTTTCGATCCTTCTTCATTCCTTACTTCCTCTGTCCCCTCCGGTTTTTCCCTAATTTCTTCATCTAGTCTTCAGGATTACGCAACATGTATCTCTTCATTACCAAGTGAAAAGGAATAGGTTATAGTATCTTCCTAAAATAATTTGATTTCTTGATAATACAAGTGACATAACTACTATAACATGCTCACCTACTAAGGATGCAATTTTCATTGTTCTGCTTCAATTCTCCATGTTGGAAATGTTGAATTTTCAAAAGGGAAAAAGGTTGATTCGTCCGTCCTCAAAGACGACAAATCCAAATTCCATCTTCAGACCACATCAGAGTTGACGTCTTCTATTGAAGTTTAAGTTCAAATACAGATAGAATTTGGATTTGTAGTCTTCTATTGAAGTTTAAGTTCAAGATTCCTTAATCACCTATACGAATGACATGATATCAATTTGCACACATCTATATATTTTCTTACTTTTGTTTTGTTATAAATTATATCAATTTGTGAAAGATATGTCCAACATTAGGGGAAAGATTAATGAGATTAAGAATGATACCAAATGCTTGAACAAGTGCAAACTCACCTTCGATACCATTCTCGAAGGTATATTATGACTACTAATTTACTGAATTTTGTGAATTTTACTGAAACCTGAATGCCAAGTATCGCATTTATAGGATTGTGAAGATATGGAGTGGAAAAGGGCTGAGGATAAGATAAAGACTACATGAAGAGAAGTAGTGGATATTGTTGAATTATTAAAGGCATGCAAATGGAAGAAAGTAAACAAACTTTGATATACATTCAATATGTGAGGAGCATGGGCTTGAACATTCATATAAGTTTTACTTCACTGTAAAGTGTAAGCAATTGTTACATCTTTTTATTGTTTTGAATATTCATTTGTAATTCTTCAGTTTTCACCCTAACGACTTGCTTGATTTTTATTCTATAATCATCGAGTTGTTAAAAAAAAAACCTATCCTTTGGCCATCTTTGTACTCTAACGGCTTGCTTGATTTTTATTCTACAAGTTTTACTTCACTGTAAAGTGTAAACAATGTTTACATCTTTTTATTGTTTTGAATATTCATTTGTAATTCTTCAGTTTTCACTCTAACGGCTTGCTTGATTTTTATTCTATAATCATCGAGTTGTTAAAAAAAACCTACCCTTTGGCCAAAAGGCCTTTTGGTATAAAAGATGTTTACGATTTATTTATTTTAATTCAAGTCCAAATATATTGATCTATATATAAAATAAGTAATTATAAACTACAAGTTGCGACACCACTTAATAGATAAGTCACTGAACTTTCCTTTTATAGAGGAGATATTCTAATGCTTTTTGAGTTTTTTGAGTCATCAAGTTGATAATAATGTTATGGGTAAAGAATAAAGAGTATGTTGTTATTTACAACATTTTTTCCTAAGTTCGCTAAGAAAGGAACAATTGGAGGCATGGAAACCAATTGTGGATGCTCTTCACATCAAAGGATAAGTTTTCAAAATTTTCTTGAATCAAAACTGTTAGAACAATATACTTTGAAAAGGTCTTTCAAATATAATAACGCAGTTAAAAAAATAACAATGTACATTCATTTTTTTATAGCATACTGGAACATATTTGACTATTATGTGTTTGTGAATGAGAGAATTGCAGAGGATAGCAATGTAATTCAGACAATGTACTATAATTTCACACAAAAGCAACATGTCACACCCCCAAACCAGAACGGCGGAAACGTTTAGGGGCGGAGGACATCATGTACAGTATCATAACAATGCACAATAGCAAAAAAAGCAACAACATCATCCATTGCATTAATAATATAGTTTAATACAAGTGTGTTCTGTATATAGTTGTAAAACAAGCAACAACATCAACAATGATTCTCCAGCCCCGTTAAAGGTTCTGGGTTTGCAGTTGGTGAAGTCCTTGTACGAACACTCCCTAAGGCGCCCTTGACTACCACCCTGAGTAGAATTAACAGTCGTTCCACCCCCGCTAGTACCACTAGCGCTGAATTGAGCTAAGGCTGTCGTAACAGCCGCAACCACAGCAGCTTGGAGTGCTGCAGGATCAAATTGAGGAGGAGGTGGTGGTTGAGTTGGAGTTATCGGAGGATTGCGTCTTGTTGATCTACGGGGAGGCATTTTTCAACTGAAAGTTTACAAAGATGAAGATGATAATATGCATTCAATAGTGAGAATAATGAGAGTGTTCCATGAACTAAATCACCATAGTTCAACAAAATAGATGAGAGGGTGATTGCAATAGAGATATAACACTAGAAGGATGAAAGTATTTGGACAAAGATTGCCCCAGGAGATTAGATGTTTGTCAATATCACTGGTATTTAAAGATGCAATAAGTTCGGGAAAATTGACCTTGGAGTAGGTCTTACATCACACCAGAATTGAGAAAATATTGACAGTACAAAGACCTAACAGACTGAAAGTTCAAGGTCTTTAACATAAGCATGAAATTAATACTAGAGTCTATACATAGACCTAATTTATATCCAAAAGAGAGAGTAGAGTAGGCTTTACTCGCAAGGGGAGTTGTTCTGGTTGGTACTTGATTCAGCCCTGGATTCGGTCAGCTGTTCTTCTGATTCCCACACACGCCTTCGCAATGCCACCCGGTTTTGACGAAGATCCGTAACTTTAGATTTCCAGGCATTCAACTCTACCTGTAGGGCATCAGTGCGAGTCCTTTCTAAGTTCTGGTCATCGGTCAGATGACGAAGACGAACTGTTTTGACTCCGGAGTTAGCACGGATCTCCATGACTTGGTCGAAGTTTGCTCTTCCCTGCTCATCATTGCGAGCTACACGACGCACCAATATAGGAAGGACTCTGTCTGCTGAGCCTCCCTCATTCAGATTGTAGATGGTTCGGTCCCCATTGTAAGGAGGTGATTGTTCCTGCTCGTGGCTCCACCTTCCCAAGTTCACCGCCCACAGAGGCGTCTGGCCTTGAAAACCCGGACGAGGGTTAGGATTCTTAGCAACTTGGGGTGGGTTATAGACCTCGGGGTCAGAGTCGGAGTCTTCATGATCATCCTCGTTCTCTTCATCAGAATTCTCCTCGGGGTCTTCTTCTGCTGGGACCACCGGGTTCTCTTCTTCAGGCTTTGCATCAAGCCATCCACCATTCCCTTGATCGGGAAAGTACGGGTCGCCAGGTAAATGGAATCCAGCCATGTTATCTAAGTGAGAAAAGGGATGTAAGAAACATATAATAGACGTACT